CGCAGCAAGAGGAACTCGCTTCGCGGTTACGGTGTTCTGACGGGGATTTTTTTTGCTTTGCGAACTCAGACGGTGCGGCCATCTCGAGTGACACGAGCAGATGCAATAAAGCATCCGGCTGCATTGCAGCTACCATTTGGCACTCAGAGCGGAACAACTGAACACTGCAAAAGAAGGCATATGAGGTTCTGACGGGGCCCGCACCCCGGCGCTCAGCGCACCTCGATCCTTCACGAGGCTCAAAAGAGTCGCCCCCCGGTCCGAAGACCCATTGAGCGAGGGCAACAACGTTCATCTTACGGCTAAATAAGACTGAAACTGAAAAGCTAGTGAAGGTCCAAACAACTGCTCACTGCAGACTAAAGTGGGGCCTAATGGCGCAGGCAGGCAACAGCACTTCTACCTTCCGGACAGTGCACATAAATAGCAGCATAAACGGATGTGTGCACATATTGCAGGTTTGCCGGATTGGTAGCCAATCGGGAGGCAGGCACCTTGTCATTGGTCAGTAATAGCTGCTGTCCACGGTGCAAAACTGTCCGGTAGTGGCCAGACTCAGGAGTCTGGCCCTCATGCAGCAATGCAGCTGTGCAACGATATCTAGCATATCGAGCTTCCATTGCATGCGGCTGAGTCAAATCTGCGGCGAAGCCTGGAACCATTATATGAGGATCGACCTTAACCGGAATGTTGGACTTATCAACCTTCAAGGAACCTTGGTTAAATCTGTTGATTTGAATCAGCAAAACCCCCAGGCACATCAAGAGTGCCTTGCAGACCTTGCTGGGCACTCCAGTCGTCCAGAAGATGCTGGATCGAAAGCTCATGGCCCGACGAAGGATGCAGTGTATGCAGCGGTGACAGGAACCACGATCTATAACCCTGGAAGAACCATCTAGGGTCTGCCTGGCTTGCCAGGTGCACTGGGCAATGGAGGGACGCAGAAGCCCTCTAAGGTAGCTGAGGTACTCGACTATATCATGTTGCCTGAAGTGGGCGCAACACGGTGTGCGAATCTCCACTTTCAAATGGAAGAACGCCATGTTGGAGAATGGTGCGCATGCGATGGTGACCTAACACATGCTCAAGCCACGGTTTAAACCCTTTACCATAAACCTTAAACCATAAATCCGAAACCGTAGACCCTAAACCATAAATCCGCAACCCTAAACCATAAATCCAAAATCCGAAACCCTAAATTCCATGATTTTGAAGGAAGCTACAGAACACGAGGACGGCCGAGCCAGATCGCGGATCCGACCTGGATTGAGAGAGACGGCGCGCAAGAACTCTCAGGAAAGCTCTGTGTGGTTGGCTGATCTGGGAATATTCGCACGCACGAGGACATGCTCCGTCCTTGCGATGTGGTTGTCACGCGGCTACACGAAGTTGCGCTGGAAACCGTTCCACAGTATCTTCGCCGAGCATTGCGGCTTTGTGAAGGCTGCACACCACAAAACAGATTTCTGCGAGTACTGTCATCTGCTGACGACGACGCAAGTTCCTCCAGCAAGCGCAAGCAGATCTGTGTGGCATCCTCCCGCAATTCTTGCGACAGAATTCCTGCTGCGTACAGGTCCGAGAACGTTTTGGAGCTTGCGAAAACCTTGCTGCGATACATGGTCAACCACACGGACGAAAAACACAAACGCAGGGGACCACGGACAAAGCTGAAGCCTGCCCCGGCGCCAGGACCTTCTGGAACTAGAAGCTAAGGTCGAGACTCGGCGTAGATGGGAGATTAAAGTGGCAAACGCGTATTTTTGGCACAAAACCTCCGCGGACCGGCAGACATCAACAGTTTACCAGGAGCGCACAACCCTTCAGCCTGGTCATGCTTTGATTTGGACGGACTTTAAGCAAACATTACAATCCCCTTACGACAGTCCAGACTTCAACAAGGTTCTACGGGCCTGCACGTCGAGAACTGACTTGCATTGCTTTTGCCCTTTTCGAAGGGCGTGCCGGTGGCAAGATTTCACAGAAGAACGTGATTTTCCATCCAATGGATAGTGGAGCACTTTGAATGCCAGCAGAAGACTGCAGAAGCCAGCGTGGCAGTACACGCTTCGGGACCCGCAGTTTCAAATCCAGAAGACCTATTGCTTGGAAGTGCGGCCAGGTCCTCGCCAAAACTTTGAGCATGCCTTTACCCACGACCTCGTTTTCAGTGATCTGGCGAATACCGCGGAAGCCAACCGCAGCCCGGGACACTTGGCAATTTTCGACAATTTGCCGATTTCTGATCGCGCGTGGCGTCGTGGTTCTTTCGGCAACAAGGCATGGGACCAGGCGACTCCCAAGCGTGGCGAAGCAGACTCACTCATGGCCAGGCGTGAAGATCATCTTGCTCGGGGTGTGGCGACAGTGTCGCCAGATTCCTGGCACATGGCTGGACAAGGCTGCGAAACTGGCGCCAGCCTTGACTGTGAAACACGAGCGGTGGCAACATGTGGCAACGCATGGTGAAACACGCGGATGGCAGCGACACTTCCCCAAGCGCAAGCAGTAGCAGTAGCAGCAGCAGCAGCAGCAGCGGTTCAGAGACTGTCGAGTGAAGAAAATGTGATTTTGGCTGGAGCAGGGTTAGCATGTCAATTTCAAGGTTCCAAGTTCCGTAAATGAAGAAGCCATATTCGCGGGGATATGTTAACTTAGATCAACGCCCATACACTTAAGTACTAACCCCCCATGCAATGCTCGCAGGCACGTACGGATGTACGTAGGGTACCTACGTACTTCTATGTACGTACAGACATACGTTAAAGTTTTATAACGTACGTAATCGTGCGTACGTACGTACGACGTAGGGTTGTTACGTACTAACGCACGCACGTACGTTCGTACCTATACCCGCCCCCCCCCCGAAATTTTTGGCCTGCAACCAACGTAACAGTCACGTAGTCATATACGTATGTACGGGCACGTACGTACCTACCTGCCAACCTACCTACCTAGCTGCCTACTATACTTACTTACCTGCTTACCTACCTACTTGCCTACCTACCTGCTTACCTACCCACCTACATTTATGCTTATACCGTCCTACCGTAGTAACGCACGTACGTGCCCAAAGTATGTACATATACGTGCGTATATAATCTCCCCCGGGAATTTTTCCCGCGTATGTACGTACTATCTGTCCTCATGCCTGCGTAGGTCTTGCTTATACTCACGGCACCTACGGCCATACATAGGTGCGTATGACATCGTATGAGCATACATACGTACGTACGTACATACGTACCGGCTCCACACCCCCGCCCCAAAACAATATCTCGTACCAACGTACATACGTACGTACTCCTGCAACGCCACATACTATAATAACGTACTAACGCATACGTAATTACGTTCCTATACGTCTTGCCTACTCACGCACTTACGACCATACGTATGCGTACTGACACAACACTTAGGTACGTACGTACGTACCGGGCCCACCCCCCGCCCAGCGTGATCCAACGCACATATGTCCATATCCCGTACTAACGTACGTACGTTACCCCCTTCTGGGGTTCTTACTGGATCTTGAACTTCTGCACAACACGACTCTAAAGCCCGGGAAATGTCGGCTGAGTGCAGGAAGCCATTAAGACCGGCAAGACGCAGACAGAATTGGCGAAGCCAACGAAGCTTGCAGCTTGGAGGCCATCCGAACCCGGACAGTGTGGACTTTTACAATGCCCTGTGAACCAGGAGCTACATGGCCCACATGAGCCTGGTGCTAGCTTTGGGGATGGTTGGGCTGGTCACATTTTCCTTGCCCAGAGCTTTGCGCGGGCTGAAAGCCAGCTAGGACCAGCATGGACCAGCTACCGGCCGGCAGATGTAAAATCGCTGCGCCAACCCCTGCGAATGACTGGGCAAGAGTTCAGGACAGCAGAGGCTACAGCGCGGCGATTGCCGAAAGGATATATCCAAAGTGCGACGAGCCTTTTGATTGGCAGACCTCACCTCAGACAGGTCTCGCCTGCTTGCTGGCTACTGGTAGCTTGCTTTCTTGGCTACGACTACGAACGAGTCATGAGATTGAATGTCGTAGTTCGAAGCTCAAAGACCGCAGGCTTGAAGGCTGAATGTTGCCTTTGTCCGACAGGACCTTAGCATGTTGCGCATGCACGGCATGAGCCGAGACTCTGAAGAAAGGCGATTTGTGGATGTGCGACGTGTCGAAATCGATACCACCATGCACTGCACAGACTAACATCCATTAAATGCAAAACGCTTGAACATGGAACTGCATTCTTTTGGACCAAGTCTTTTGCGACATTGCCTTCCATTCAGGTCCCGTCAAAGACGGGATCCTGAACGGACGTTATTACACGACGTGAAAAGGATTTCAACCCGCGCAGTGTCCAGAAAGCATCATTCGAAATGGATACGATTGTCGACCAGCTGGCCAAGCATATTCCAGGTTAGAGTTATAATTGCCTTTATAGTATAGAGTCTAGCAATTGCGGCTGCAGCATCCTGCATGCCACCTGGCTTCACCAATGGATCCGAAGAGCAGGACGATGCGGCGATCCCAGTGTCACTGCGCGCACAGACGGGCTTTCCCCTGAGTTCTACAAGTCCCAGAACCCAGTTGCCATAGGCCGGCCAAGCTGACAGAGTCGTTGTCTGCCCCTTCGCTACGGTCGTTGCCACGCTTGCACAGCAGCCAGAGCCCTTCAAGTCCGTCGGCGCGGATAGCCGTAATCAAGCCTGCCCACAAGGCAGTGAACAGCCCAGCTCAGAGCGCGTGGTGAAGGCAGAGGAGTACATGTACCTCCAGGCAAGTACTGTCGGACTCGCGAGCATCCGAGTTAATCCTGTGATTCTTCTGCAGGTGAAGCGCAGCCACTGGCCTGAACTGAGCGCTGACTGTGACCTGGCTTCGCAGTGGCATCCTGAGCAGCCTTTTTGGAACATCTGCGCTGCCCAGGTAGGCTTTGGACTCTTCGGGATTTTGCTCTGCAGAATTCCAATTGGGAGTCCTTTACCGACAAAGGCAAGCTCCGGGCATCTTGACGAAAGTTTCATTCGGCTCAGAAGCAGTCATCACCGAATCGCCCTCTTTGCCTTCATGAGGTCATATACGAGCTCGGAGCTTTGCTCTGTGAATCTGGCCATCGCCTGAAAGAGGAAGCACGGTGTTCTTTGAAGCTTTCATACGGAGAAGATCATACACCCCGGAGGACATGATGCTGAAAGCCCGGAATGAGCTCCAGAGGGCCGTCACAGACGCATGGCCCCTGGATTCTTGCACCATCCTTTCAGGGCTTCTTGGGGTGGAAGTCGCTGCACTCCTGGCATATCAACTACAAAGAATCTTCACCCTGCAGGCTGGACTCCAACCCATGGCCCATTCCCGCAAAACACCACTTTCGCTCGAGCTGGGTTCCCGTTTGAATGTTGTTGCTCTCGTCCTTCTCAGGCACGCCAGCTTCCCCGGGTTGTCCGCAGAGTCCTTGGACCGCCTTTGACTCCTGGGGAATGTCGTGTTCTTGCATCTCGAATCCTTGTATCCAGTTTACGGAGGCTCTGACAAGCTGCGGGCTTTGGCGGTGGCCAGCTTATGTGAAGATAACCTCAATTTGCCTGGGGCCGCACGGAGAATCAAGGAGGCTTGGCCGGCGACAGTGGCACCGACAGACGATTGAGACTCTTGGTGGTTGTCCCGCCTTCAGGCCCTTGGCGAAAGAAAGCGCGAGGTGTGAGAAACTTCCGTGCTTTGCACTTCCTCGTAGCCATGGTGCTGAAACTGGCTGGCCTTTTCAGGAGTATGACAGCGGTCACATCCAAAACCTGTCAAAGAAGAGACTTGTCTGCAGTCTTGGCATTTGCGGGCAAGTTGGGTCGGAAATACATGGTCTATCAGAGACTGCCCCTGTGCACGTGCCTGTGCAGCACTGCACAGTGCAGGTTCCGATTCAGGGGATACATCGAGAAGGTGCAAGACAGGCAGCTTGCGCGTGCACAGGGTGACAAGCCACAGGGCCTTTAGTGCCGCTCCTGCCGTGGAACATGGAGGTCCATGACACTTTCCCAGCTGCGGAAGGTCCTTAAGCACCTTCAGTGCAATGCAAGATTTTGAATAGACATGTGCATGTGGTGCAGACCGAAGACAGAACAGCAGTTCCCGCCGGACAAGGTATTGTCATGAGTCCTGCCATCATTGGCGCGACATCGTGGACGAGGAAGAACCCCCAAAAAGCGCTTTCAGACTTGGCAGAGCCCCAGAAACCTGCAGGACCAGCCCTCTCCACGGAGCAATGGGCTGACCATGGAGGTTCCGAGCCGGCTGGTCCCAGACTCAGAGGATCCGTACTGGCCCCACGACTCAAGGTTCTCAACTTGCACCATGTCGACTCCTGGTTGATCTGGCCTGCGACAGAGGCGCGCAAGCGGGGAACGCTACCAAACCAAATCTGCTTACCCCGATGACAGGCGTACAGAAGCTCGTTTGTGGAGCTGATGGCAGATCAGGTTGGACGACAATGGACATGTAGACTCGTAGTTGTTGTTTCTCCTGCTTCTTGACTGCCCAGATTGTCCGGGCACATACCGAGTTGCGAAACATACCGGATGTTCAGTCTAGAGGCAACCGAATGCCTTGTGCTTCTGTATAGTTGCCTGCCTTAGCACAGCGATGTCTGGTAGCTCTAAGACGTTTGTTACCGATAGGCGCCTTGGGCTCCAAAACATCCGCTACTCTTCCGCTAACGTGACTCCAGTAACCTGCCTTCGGTTTCAAATTGCTAGCAGAGCAGGTGGATCACGTGCGCGAGATTTTGCCTCCGGTTGTCCAATAAGCAATGTCGGTAGCCGGCCTAAAGTATCAAGGAGCATGGGGTATGCAAGGCCCGCCTGCCGAAACCAAGATTATTGGCCTAAATCCTGGGTCCATTTCTGCCGGCCTCGAGGGTTTATATAAACCTATAAGATTCAATAAAATGAGATTTAACAAGATATATTACAGTAAGCTTTAGTGGGGCGAAGAGCCACAAGAGAAGGGAGCGCCAAGTGCAAGCAGCACAACAACAGGAGCGAAAGCAACAAACAGCAACAACATGTAGACTACAAACTTAAAAGTCTGCATGGGGCCAGATGCCACCAGAACAGCAACTTAACAGTCAAGTTGGTATTGATGTGTCCAAGCCTACTGGGGTTGGCGAAGGAGCCACCTCAAGAGTGGTTCTGGCGCTGACGCTTTGATTACATAACCTCACAGAAGTCTGCAATTAGACTCCAAGAATACGCACCGCGATGCACCGCGACATGCAGCTCGACTACTACGCGATTCAACACGGGGATAGGATTCGCGCAGCTCTACAAGAGATTCTTGGGCAGCACGGAGGGAATACATCGCACGACAGTATGCTACACATCGTGTATATTGACCGCCGTTCATTGACCGATCACCTTCTTTCGCAGATACCCAGACAAGTACTAGTAGCGGACAAAAGGCTTGCTATAGAGACGGCTGGATTGCGACGGGTACTTTGGCAGGATGATACCCCAAGTCATGCGGTAGTCCATCCGTGTGGGGACGTCTGGAGGTGGATCCCAACTCACTTGCAGTTAGGTGGCTACCTAACCAAGTCGATGAAACCTCACTTGCTCAAGAAGGCAATTCAGTCTAACATCGTTGAGGCTTGTTGCGGCGAAAGATCAAGCAGCAGATGCACCGTCTTCGTCGCCTACAACAAATGCATAGTTCGGAGTCATTACAGCAGTCAGACCTAATTCATCTTGCATGAGGGAGTGGCTGCGCTCCCCGCCCATCGTGCTGAACCGGACCAGTTGACATCTCATAGCTCGGTCTCAGTCAAGTCCGTTCAGGAGATCAGACCAGTATAGACAGGTGCGAAACATACCTGATGTTGAGTCCCTTCTACAGGCAACCGAGTTGGACTCACCGTGAGTAGGAACCAAATGTCATTTGTTGCGGTATAGTTGCCTGTGTTAGCACAGTAATGTAACGTAGTTCTGAAACGTTTGTTACCGGGGTTCGAAATCAAAAAACGTTCCTTTTCCGCTAACGTGACTCCAGTAGCCTACCTTCTGTTTCAAACGAGTTTTGTGCGGTTCGCCTTTGTTGCGGTTCATGACTGTGCCGTTGGTTCCGTTCTGCACCAGGCCACTTAGGTCTCATCTGTCGGCTCTATTTCTGACCTAACATGAAGTGAACTTCCAGGCCCAGCCGGCTGTTTGGTGCGTCAGCCACTGCTGGTCTCAGCCGTGTCTTGGCAAATGTTTTGCAACAAAACGCGCCAGTACCGGGATCGCACTGCAAGTGTGATTTCAGGCATGCTTCTTTCGTGGACTGCATCGGGCAGCACGCACAAACCAGGCTGTGCTAAAAGTTGTGTTTGAGGAAGATTTCCTGCAACACCATAACGTCTGCATGCCTGCAGGGGCCTGCGTCGCTGCACCACCTTCTGGATTTGGGCGTATGCGCACAGGCATAAGCCTGTCATCGTTGTGTGAAAATTTGCCCTTTCCAAACAGTCAGGCATCACTGTGTGGACTTGGAGCCTCCGGAGCCAGGGACCTCCGACCGTCCGAGAATTCTGAAGACTGCAGGATACTGCAAGCTGCCAGCTATCAAGCTCGCGAAGCTCAGGTCGGCAGTTTGTGCTGCGCTGGACACAGCGGAGAGTAAGCTGCTGCTCGTTCTGCAGGACACTGCCGGCAGCATTCTTTTCTTAACAGGCAAGGCAGCAAGGCAACGCCATAGCTGGTGCAAATGATAGCTGAAACAGGGCGTGTGCCGAAAGCAGCAAATGCCAAAGTGCAAAACCAGAGCTTTGCCAAATCGCTGCAGGACGTCACAGGAGAAGGGACGGTTGAGCATGCGGCAAAGCAACGGCTCTGGTGCATGTTTGAGGTGAGTTTCATTTTCATGCAGTTCCATGGAGCATGAAATTGATGAGAGGTTCTGCAATGCCTCAACACCGCTGCGCAGCATGGATGGTCGAGGACGCCAATGGACGTTGCTGTTGGGAACTCAGAGCATGCTCTCGGGAGCATTGTGAAGAGTTTCTTGCGTAGGTCATGGCCGAGAGCAAGGCTCATTGTGTGGACAAGAACAACTTCTTGTCCTTGTCGCCCTCACCTGGCAGAGCAGGCAGAGCTTCTCACTTACGGTCTCATTGATGACGAGGAGGCGGTGCTCCGAGCGTGGCACTAAGGCGGTTGGAAGGAATGCTAAGACAGGCTATGGAAGGACGACTGCCGGGCAGCGGCCTTGCAGCCAAAGCTGCACGAGAAAAGGCAGATCTGAGCCAAGTGGCCTGTGCCCTTATCCTGTTCTACCGTCAGGGCTTCCCACTCTCGGTGGTCGAAACCTACCTTCGACATCAGTTTCAAGAAGCGCAGACTTCAGCAGAGGAGGTTCTGAGCTGTAGGGCTACCAGTTTCAAGAGCGAAACGTTCGCCCGTCGGCAAGGACCGCAACCACTTGCTGAAGAAAATGGCCAAAGCCGCTCGACCAAAAACTGCCTTGGGCCGTGGCCCTGTGATGTCGGCGGCCAGGTCGTTGGGCCTGGCGTGGAAATGGAGAAGATAAACACCAGGCCAGGCCTGCAAGACTCCTGCTTGGGCCCCAAATGTGACGGCAAGGCTGAACGGCTTGTTTGCGCTCACATTCCTGCGAAAAGTGTTCGAAGAAAAGGCTAGCTGCTGGATGCTGCCCAGACCGCTCCTTCCCAGTCAAGTTGTCAGGATGAGGGACGTGAGGACCTGGCCTGCTTGAAGGACTTTGTTCGGCATGCCTGGCTTGGAGAAGCTTTGCGGCGTAAGTTCTGCGATAGTTTCGGTGGTCAAGGAGCTCGTGGCAAGTGCATTGGCAAAAGATGTTGACAACGTTGAAGTCGACGTCAGCCTCGGTGGAGGCAGGCCACACTGAAATTTGAGTATTTGGTACTGTTGGTCTTGAGAGGTGCTCTCACGTCCGTGGACGAGGAGCCACGCACCGCCACGCGTCTCCAGTGCCGACACCGAGCAATCTTGACAGGAGCTCCTCCTCCTCGTAAAGAACTTGTCTCCGAGGATCCTCATTCAACACAACTTTCAACACTCATGGCGCATATTGTTTGGCACATTACGTCATGTGATTATGGCAGCACGCGTGGCCAATACTTCGCAAGGCTGCAGCGGATAACGTTAGATTTGAAAGGAAGTTGTCCATGGCTCAGGATGGTGAAAGAGTACGCGTGCATCAGTTTAAGCCGCGGCGCCTAGGCATCAAAAACAGCTGCCTGGCAGAAGTGGCAAACTTCCTGTCACCAGAAGTGCAGGTGAGCGGTCGGGCGCTTGTCGGGTGAGTGGCATGTCACACCGTACTCGCTTCGACGTCTGACTGGAGCAGGACATTCTCCTCGACCTGCAAGGATGCCGCACCGTGACGGACACCGGAGTGAAGAGGCTGGCTGCAACCTGCAGTTGCACTCTGCTGGATCACGTGCCCACAAAGTTTACATAGTCTCTTTTGACACCCTACATATCGCTTTCCGGGGACAGGATTGCACCGGCACCGTCAAAAGCACCGTGCAGCTTGCGAAGAGCAAGATCAAGCACAATTTCCCATATCCGGGATGTGGACGAAGGTGTTCATAGATTCGGTCTTTTCACTTGCGGCAATGGTGAACACAGAGCAATCCTATAACCACAACACCTTCGGGAACGCATGAACGCATGATTTCAGAATGCCATTGCGTCAGTCTTGCAGATTCATGGACAACCTCGTGACCAACTGTGATCGATCAAAGCTGAGCACCGTTTCTTGCTTGCTGATGGGGACGAAGGCAGCGTAGACATGCGTAGACATGCTTAGACGGTGTAGACGTCAGAGCACGGCAGTGAAGCCAGGTCGCCGAAGTGTGTCAAGAAGCCTGCGAGATGTTGGACTTGGATCAGGTTCACAAGGCGAGAGAACAAGGACAAAGCTCGAAGCTTCTGCCGGGGGCTTTGCCATCTTTTTGCTTTGCAGGTTCGCGGAGACCTTGCACTGCAAGAAAGGCTTGCAGACCGCGGGACAGCTGTCCGGTGTCAAACTTCTCATGCTTTTGCTGGTCAGGAAGAATCACCTCAAGAGGCTCATGAAGAATGTTCATCTGGGCAAGGCAAGTTGGCAGTGGGACCGCATCGCCATCGTGAGTCTGAGACATGGTGCATTTGGAAGAAGCCCTTGGCAGAACACGGATTGCTGACTCTCAGGGCACAGGCATAGCGGCAAATGTGACTCGTGGTATACCGGAGCATTCGATGAAGGTTGCCTTTTGAATTGGTGAGCTGAGGGACGACGACTGAGACCCGACCCCAGCTGTGTTTTGAGCAGGCGCCGATCGCATCTCTCCGAAAGCTGGTGGAAAGCCATGTCGAGGTCCTTTGCTTTGCAGCTTTTTTGGACTTGGCTTCGTCTCTTCTGTCCCTGATGTTAGGTGACAGTGCGCGGCATGCTGGGCGAGCAGGGGGAGATCGATGTCTCACATCTGGAGTGGGACATTCACAGCACCTCAGCTGTGGCTGAAGGATGCCTTAATGCCTTATGATGAGACCAAAGTGAAAGTCGATGACCGAGCGTGGCTCAGGCAAAGAGATGACAATCCAGCTTGATCAAGCTGAACCCTCAGATCTCTCATGTGGGCTCGGGCTTTGATGAAGCTTTGCAAATGGCTTTAGGTCCATTAGGTCCTTTAGGTGTTTTCCCGGTCTGGATGTGTCTTCAGGCTTTGCTCAAGTTCCTGCTGGACGTTGGAGCAGCCATGCAACTCAGGCGCCGAGAGTGTTTCGTGCTTCGTCCTTGCATTGACGCTGGAATCGCAGGAAGCGGCCGGAGGCACAGCCTTATTGCGTGCTGTGGCCGGTGTGCAGCCCAGGATATGAGGGCCGCCCTCCATCCCGCTCCGAGGCATCCCCCTTTCAGTGAAGTTCTCCAGGTGCCAGATCGGGACCCACAGCAGCGCAACTACATGTTCCATCATCGCCACCAGGCCCTCGGCAGATTCCTTGACTTGCGTGACTTTGGTTGTGGTTTAGGCCTTCAGTGACGTCTTCGCAGAGAAGTTACCAGAGGCCTTTCGGGTGGCAGCAGCGCTCGATTGCGATTCAGCTGGATCGGAACATGAGGTCCAGAAGATGGGAAAGAAAGCCACGGCTGCTGCTTTGTTGGAGTCGCCGGCTCAAGACATGGCAGGGCCACCACTTTGCAAGAGAGGCTGTCGGTTTTCTCAGGATGCGCGGGGGCGACCTCGTGGAAGCAGCGATACCGAGCCCGGCTGCCTTGCAGAAGCTAGCTTTCATCTACGCAGCAAGAGAGGCTGCTTGGCCACATAGCCTAGCATGCCCTAGCCCTACGGCTGCGACTGTTCCCACCGTGGAATCATGACCCAGGGCAGCACGGAGGCCGTTGCCGCCTTGCTGCTGGCCGCCGGCCAGCACTTGCTGACACAGGAGCTCACTGCCGTGTCCGGGTGTCAGGCAAGGTTTGACCTCCTGACTCAGCTCTCGCCAGGTAGATGATGGCCCTTGGGAAGAAGAGGAGTGGAGATGTTCGATCCCGGGCGGTGGTGACATATTAATTACGCTTTGCGTTTGGTCAGGACCTGATCACTTGCAACGTGAAGGAAGATGATGCTCCCAGGGGAACGGCGCTTCTGGGAGCCGCCCAGAATGGCCATGGAGAGGTGAGCACAGCAACCTCTCATATGTGCTGTTGTGATGCTACGGGTCCATTGAATGCACTTATAAGTTGCACCGGCTGCGAGTTCTAACTCTCTTCGCCAGGTGGTCCAGAAACTGCTTGACTGGGGGGCAGAGGTGAATCAACTGCAGATAGACACGGAAGTCTGTGTCTCAGAGATCTTGGAGCACTACCAACCAAAGGATAGATATGATCTGACTTGCGACCAGGTTACCGCCTTGACATTGGCTGCACAAAGAGGTTGGCTGGAGGTGCTCTCCGGCAATGTGATTGCTATGCCATGAGTTGGAAAAGCTTCTGGACCTCCAGGTGGCTTCAATACTTCTCGAGAACGGTGCCGACATGGAGGTGGGCAGCTGACGTGAGCCGGTGAGGCTCGTGAAGAGTCATTTGGAAGGTGCGTGATGTCACTGGTCGGACTCCTTTGAGCTGGGCAGCCGAAAAAGGGCAGCTTCACATTGTTGAGGCAGGTTTTAGCCCGCGCCACATCCGTGACCACACTTTAGACATCCAATTGCCTGATGCTTCACATTCCTTTCTGGTGAAACAGGAGCTGCTGGAGCGACAAGCGCACATCGACCTCCCTGACTGCTGGGCTCAAAAAGTGTCGTTGACCACTTAATCACCGCAGACCCCTTGATGTAAGTGGGTCTACGGCATACTGCTTTGAATAAGTGCGAGTAATTCTTGTTGACTCTCCCCGCAGCAGAATGGTTCCACGAAAGCGCAAAGGCATGCATGCAAGATCATGCAAGCAAGCTTTGCAAAGAAAGTTGGCAACCACTCCCCGGAGCCGTTTTTTGCTCCCTGAAAGTTCGGGCTCTGAGAAACTGATGGGTGTGGTGAGTTTTCGGGGACTGGCTGAGACGTCAAACTCGCCCAAACCAGGCCGATATATTTTCTCATGCCCTGAAAAAGCGCATTTTGGCATCCCTCCAGTAGCTTCCAGCTCCGGGAAGCAGTTTTGGGCGGTTTGGGCATCAGCCTTGAAACTCGGCACAGATGCGTTTGCAGGCCTTCTGGGCAGCTAGTCCGTAGCATGGGTGGGATGGGATGGGACATCTGTCCCAAAGAGGCCCGAGTCGCACGCCCGCTTTGAAGCTGAGCACCTGAACCTGTCCGTCCGCCCCGATTCCGTCCTCTTTATCGTGCTCCAGAACCCTAAGCTTCGCCCGGAAAGGAATTGGGCGAGCAAGGACCTAGAAGACACTGTTCTGATCTGACCGCTGCGCGAGGACAGGAAAGGCATGACTCCACTGATGCACGCCTCCGTTGTTGGCCAGGTGCCATTGCATGTGCAGCTTGTCACGCTACGAACGAAGAGTGATCTGTTTGACCGAATAAATGCTGAAGGCAGCGATTTCACATTCCACCCCTGCTTCTCACAAAAGCGTGGCAGGTTCTGGTCGCACAAAAACTCGTGGAGTTCAATGCAAACATTCGCGTGGAAGCCACAGTATGCGTTTATCGTGAATCGACCAAAGCTTCCCCATTCTACAGGGTGCCCTGTAGCGAGCATGCCCACGGATTGGTAAGGCAGTTGACAAAGAAGGAAAGACAGCGGCTGCGCATGCCACCATCTATGATTCTGCCAGGGCCTCGTGACGTGCAAGTACCGCACTTGAATTCAAGGTCTGCAGTGTGTGACCATTCAGGACAAGATGGGGCTTCAGCAGAAGAAGCAGAAGATCTTGGATATGTTCCAAATTCGAGAGAAGGAGCTGGAGATGCGTGAAAGGGAGCTCGAGATGCGAGAGAAAGAGGCAGAAGAGATGGCATCTATGGCATCTATGGGTCTTGCAGAAGACGATTCGCCGCTTGCTGCTTCGCAATGATACGAAAGCTGGGTGTAGCCGCTGCCGAAATTGGCACTGGCCAGCATTGCCCTAGGCAAGTTGTCATGGCCGGTCAAAAGGACGCCAGCACGAAGACGCCGCCATCGCGCAAAGCAGTGTGACCGCATTGAGCCTTTGTGCCCAGCTCTCGGATCTGCCTGCCGTTTGCCCAGCACGGAGCACAGTGAGAAGCCTTTTCGAGAATCCGGGCTACAGTCTCCAACTCCAGCAGCATGCATGACAACATATCCTCGGAGCCACGGTTTCCTCGCAACACATTCAATGCAAATATCAATGTTGCATGGATCAAATTGAGTTCGACATGATGTGATGCCCCAGGCCTGACAGAGTTCTCACAGGATAAACAGCCTAAGATCATGTTAGAAGCCAGGTGTGGAGAGCCCCCGCACGGAAAGAGGAGCTCTACGTCGCGCGGGCCGTTCCATCAGCCTTGCCGGACCGTTTACGGCAGTCATTATGCTTCTATGCTTCGGAAAAGGATAGGAACTGCATGTAGTAAGTGCCATTCCACTCAAAAGAAGTACCTGTAGAGGAGCACAAATCCGACCGGCTGGTGCTGCACAAAGTCTTATGCAGTCGGGCTCCCGGTCGTTGGTCATTCTACAGGTGCTTGGAGGTTGCCTTCTTTGAGGCGATGGGATGTGCACAGCATGGGGCGCACACGGCATCTCAAGATCCGGAAGGCCCAGCTCTGGAAACTTCCGTAGAAGAAGCACAGAGACTGCTCTGGCACTGAGGCAGATGGATGTGAAGACAGACCTCCACTGGGCGAGAGACTTACCTTTCACGCTTGCAGCTTGCTTTACTCCGACGGTCAGGTCATGGAGCCCGTGCCTGGCGGCATGGAAATCAGGCTCGACCCAGCTTTCACGAGAGTAGGTCACCAGGTTTGATAGGGGCCTGCAACAGGCCCGTGAAAGGCTGGTATGATCTTGTGCAAGCAAATTCTGCTGGCCGGGACCTCGGTGCCAGATCTCGATAGATCTCGCGGCACCCCGTGGTAATCTTGTCCAAGGTGCGGGCAAGCAGCTCGTTCCCGCAAAGAGGCTCCTTGTTCGCCCGGGCATGCAGAGTTGGACCATCCCTTGATGATCAAGGCCACCTGAAGCCGTCCAAGCTTCAGTACCGCATCGTGCTATTGCGTTGGCCCAGCTGGTGAAGCGCCAAGGCCAACGTGGAAATTCAGAAGCAAGTTTGTGAACGAAAGGCTGCTTGGCGTTAATTACTGCATGCTCAGAGTTCCACTGCGTGGTCCCAGCGCTCGACGCACATGGTATCAACGAACACGGCACCGACCCAGGAGATTTCTGACCGATGGGATAAGATGCGGAAGCGAGGGAAGGAGGTCACTTCCGGCACGCATATCCGATTTCCCACAAACGCCGCACTTTGCTGCAGGAGGAGGCTGGGCCTTTTCTGGCTGCTCGTAAGCCGAAAGTTTCAACCAGCGCGGTTGCCTATCCGGACAAGCAGCAAAGTGATGAGACCGGCATCAAGAAGCAAGAAGAGAAGCGGCGCAAGGTCTGCGCACGTGCATCGATGCCACTTGCACAGGGATCTGAGCGCAGAGCCAGGTTCTCCGAAAGCAGGAGATGGCACATCGCGAAGGTGCCGAAGAGGAGGCATCTGGCCCTTGTGCCTAGGACCCTCAGACCTGCAAGTAGCACAGGAGCGGCAGAGAGCCGAGCCAGGCAGTACCAGACGTGGCAAGCAGCTTGCATGAGCTCAAGCGGCAGAAGGGGGGCGAGGCTAGGTCAAGTAACACAGGGTACTGTGTGCACACAGCTTAGTACCGATTCGATTGCAAACGGACAATCAGGCTGGCTGGGATTTCTCGGACGAGGAGCAATTCTCGGATGATCAGGAGGCCTACTACTTCCGTTTTCCGGCAATCTCGTGGAAAACAGCAGCAGAAGGAAAGATTCGACTTCGATGATCAGCTGGAGGGGACAGCCGCTCAAACTGAGGACAGAGTTCCGGTGCCCTCGCGCTGCACAAAGTGCTAGCACAGCTGTTGCAGCCTGCAGGATCAAGGCATGCCAGCTGGAGAAGAAGTGGCTGCTGAAGAAGACGGGGAAGCCCAAGACGTGCAATTGCTCGCGGCTTACACAGCTAGTCCCAGCTCTGCGAATGTCCCAGATGTGATCGACTCTTGGCGGCCAGAGCGTTTAGCTGCACAGGCACATTAGCTTTGCATTTGTCCTTCCAGCAGGGTGGTGGAGCAGGAGCCCCTACTTTTTACCAGCCATGTCGTCTCATCGAACTCGACAAGACATCCGAGACTGCACCAAGGAACCGGACGATTCAGCAAACAAAATGGTATGGTGCAGATAAAATGGTGAAATCAGAGACTTGACATACAAATACAACGACGACTGTGAGGATGGTGGACACTGATGTGTCAGCGGCGTTGTCCATTGCGTGTGCATGCACATGGTAGTTGATCTAAAGCCCCTTGT